CAGCTGGACTGTACCTGGGCAGCCTTTGTGGCGAGGCACGGAGGTGCCTCATTTGTGTGATCTCTCACTGTCAAAATATTGATCTGGTCTTCTTTTGAAGGGAGCAGTTTGGAGGGTTGTTGAAAATATACCATCAATAGTGGCCATTATTTCTGTTTGATAATTCAGTTTCACGTTCCGGTTTTGCAGTGTTTGCAATGCACCGGAAATTTACTGTGAGCAGCAACTATTGTAAACAACGTTTGCAAAGGCGACACAAATGAGTCATATTTAGCTGAATACCAATTATCAGTATGTGTCAGCTTTAATAGAAGTGTGACAATCACAATAAGGGAACTTGCAGAGGGACAGAGAGGCCAGATAGCGACAGTCGCTAACTCTGTAATGTAATGTAAAAAAGGGAAAAGGTTTAAAACTTGACTTAGTGTATACCAAACACAGAAAAACTGCATTAACTGAGAGGAACAATGGATTATCGTTATTGATTAATCTGACCAGAACATTTCTGATTAGTCAATAAATTGTCCCACTGAATTAATCTCAATGGGACAAATCTGGTTAAATAAGGGCTAACACATCTAGTGCTTCTAGTGTTCTATTTCTTAATGTTTCTAGTGGCCAAGATGACATCTTCAGGTTTATTTTGTCAATTCAAACAGCAAAAAAAAAAAAAAAGAGAGAAAATAGTCAAATCTGTGAAGCTGGAGCTAAAAGATGTTTGTCATTTTTACTTGATAAACTGACAAAAATGATTTAATGCTTAGTCACATTAAAATTGTTGGCAATTAACATTCTGTTGATTGACTAAATTGATGAACTGACTAATTGCTTCAGCAGTAATTTGCTTCCCAACTAACTACAGCCTAAACAATCATAATGGAGTTGAAACGCCTCCGTACCACCACAGTATGACCTTCAAAACCGCATTGACTGCAGAGCTCCAGTATTTTCAGGTGTTTCTGTTATTGTGTCCACCACCTATATATCGGAAATGGGAAGTCTGATTGTCCTACTAACATGTTTCCATGGAAACTACAGGTGGCTCGCTACAGTTCATTCATCTTTTTGCTCCACCCTTCAATCAATTTGTTTGTCCGTCTATTCATCCATCCCTCCACTCTGCTGATCAATAATGATGGTGGAGAGGTGCCATTTTGAGTTGTTAGGTTGCCATAGAAACTGATGCTGACCACCTTTAGTGTCCATGCATCCTTTATATGGCATCCATCCATTGCATCCTCCTTTTCCACAATAAATATATAGGTGGCGATGAGCACAATGCCAAGTCATCCACCTGTCAATCACTCTCGCACTTCAATTACACAACCACCGCAGGGAGATTATCTCCATGAATCCTTTAATCTCATTTCTGCTTGTCTGCGTCAAATGTCACAAGAGACACACAGAGATGTTTGTGAGAGATGGAAAGAAAAATAAATATAGTCTTTAGATAAATGTGTAGCTAGAAGCAAACTGGTGTTGTGTAATGCATTGTTTTTGTGCATATACATACAACATCATGTCACACAAATTAGTTTTCACTACAATGCTTCTGTGTCTATGATGTATGTGCGTTTATTTTTTAATTGACAGAGTTCATGTTCATATACTGCTCTTTGTCCACTCACAATGACATCAAACTGTTATGGTCTCATGTTCATGACAGCATAAAGAAAAAAGAAATAGAATAAAGAAAAACATGAATATAAAAGATTTCAGCATTGACACATCCACTAATTACAACAAACCTAAGATGAAAATAGGTTAGCTTAACTTTTTCTCTGTGTTGGCTGCTAGCTCCAAATCTTTCATGAATGCTCAGTTACAGATCCTGTTATTGGACAACAATATTATTGTCATGCTCCTCAATGAGAGGCTCCAATTTCTTTGTTGATAAGAGCATTATCATCCTGGAAGCCGCTGCTCTCATCAAGAAAGAAATGCATCATGGGATGACAGTGATCATTCCTATTAGGTGTAAGATGAAATCTGCTCCGCCCTCTTGTTTGAAGGATTGGATGAATTTCATTACAGTGAATGCACCTCACCACAAATGTTCTCTTGGATGAGACATTTTTTTAATGTGTCCTTCATTGTGATGTTATTTTTATATTTGTGGCTCAAAAAGTGCTACTTTCTCAAAATGTGTTAAAATGCGAATTTCCTGGTTTGAGGCTAGTACTCTCTCAGACTGTGATATGGATTTAACATCATGATTTCTGTCTCCACAGGGGAAGGACTTGAGAAAGATTCTCCTCACACGCTACTTTGGAAATCAAAAGCTTCTCTCCAAGTCAGAGCTTGGGAGTGGAAACAGCTCATCTGGCGGCTTTGTCAAGCCGTCATCTGGAGGTACTGAGAACTCCAAATAAACCTAGTAGACACAGCAATAACTACTCACTGCAGAGGAAACAACAGCCGCTAACATGACAGCACTCTGCTTCTTAGGAGAAGTGCTGTTTGACAATTGCTGACACTTTTTAATCTGACCAAAACGATTCCTTAACCACCACATAAATATACATATACATATATATACACACACATCAGTTATGCCCAAATATAGCTCGATTAGAATAAAAAATAATCAGTAATGTTTGCAGTTATCTGGTTAAGAGCACAATTATGTCAAATGTTAATATACAGTCTCTGCAGTAGGTTCTCCCATGCTGGACTCTGACAAGCCAGGCAGCAGTATGGTGGAGATCCAGTGTCTCTTGGACAATGTTGGCGCATCAGAGCTGGTGATTGATCTCATCGTCAACACCAAGAACGACCGGGTGTTTGAGGAAAGCATCCTGCTGGGCATTGCCCTTCTCCAGGGCGGAAACACACAAATACAGGTGGGCGACACAGACTCTCAGATCCTTTTATTTCTGTGCCCGTTGATCAGCTGAAACTCACACACCTCACAGATCCAGATTTAGATTTATGTTTATTACTACTCTGTCTCCTCCTTCTCAGAACTCCTTCTATAACCAACTGTACAAGCAGAAGAAGTCCGAGAGGTTCTTCAAGGTTTTCTATGACCGCATGCGTTTGGCCCAGCAAGAGATCCGAGCCACTGTGTCCGTCAATATGTTTGAGCTCAGCTGCAGGAAAAGGGACGAAGACAGTGACGTCAGTAGCATCAGGTTCAAGAAAGGTACAGTCAAGGAATGATGTATTTGAAATGATAAATAGTAAAATGTAACCTTTCTGTGCTGTCAAAACAAAGCCGAAAGTAAAGTAAGTAAGGTTTATAGAGTAGGGTTTATGTAAAGTGAACCATCTCATGGGGTCATCTCCTGAGCAGAGCCGAGCATTTCCATAGAAACAGGCCTGGACTAAGTCAAAGTCACAAAATAAGCTAAAATATAAACCTTTTTCTTGTATGTGTGGTCATGTCAAGTTCAGCTCGGCCTTGAGTTTAAACAATAGCGGAGGATAAATTCAGAATTATCTTGGTTGCTCCGCTGACCTCTGTGCAGACTGTTGTTCCCAGTTCCTGCAGTCACATGTCAGAGGCCATGTGACAGCCCACATCACAAGCCTATCAAAAGGCCATTGTATCAAGATTGGGTACTTTTCATGCTACAGAACCCCACTCAATAGTTTCCTGGGGGGTCTGAATTTTTTTTAAAAATATGTAATTGATCATAACCTATAGCATGTTTCCGGCAAACTTGTTATTGTTCTGTCCAATAATTAAACAGTAAATTGTTTTTGTACCTCTCTATACCTGCTCTGCTCTAGGGAAAGACTCTGGGCTTCATATGAGGGAGGACATGCGAGGGCAACTGAAGGAGGCCTCCTCAGTGACCTCAAAGGCCTTCTGTGCATTCAGAAAGGAGCTAGATCCCGACCTTGAAGGCCTCGGCCAGAACAGTGAGATAATCGGGGCCGAAGAGGCTTTAGAAGAAACTCAAATGAGCCCAGCCATCACCATCATGAAACCAATCCTACGTTACCTGCAGCTGCTCTGTGAAAACCATAATTCAGACCTGCAGGTACTGGTCCGTCTTTGTGATTGAGAGTAAGAACCTTGAAGTCCAAAAGCTGTTTAATTGACTGCTGTTAATTAAATTAATTATGGTTTTTCTGCTCTGAATCCAGAACTTTCTGCGCAACCAGAATAACAAGACCAACTACAATCTGGTGTGTGAGACTCTTCAGTTCTTGGACTGTATTTGTGGAAGCACCACTGGAGGCCTCGGACTGCTGGGCCTTTATATAAATGAGAATAATGTGGACCTGGTTCGCCAAACCCTGGAAACCATCACAGAGTATTGCCAGGGCCCCTGCCATGAAAACCAGGTATGGGAAAGAATTGGTTGGTTTAGAGTTGACGGTAAGTTTAATTTAGTGAATAATTAAAGCCCTTACAAGGATCTTGACTTGACGTTGATTCTGGCAGACCCTTTGGACAAAAGAAGTAGTGTTTCTACCAATTGGTTCCATTGATTTCAAGGGGAAACTGAATCAACCCCGTGGTAGGCATCAAGAATAATTATAGAAATAGCTAATTTTCTCTGTGATGGTCTTGTTTGTTTATGTAGATTAGTATATACCTTTATAGTATAGCTAATATATTTAAGTATTAAACAGGATTATGAGACTCTATTACCTGATACTTTAGTCATATATAGATATTATAGCATGAATATAGTCTTTTTTTTTGTTGACTCAAAGGCTATGTGACATATAGGAAAATAACTTAAGGGTTAACTTAAGTTGTAGCCTATTAACTACTGTACATTGTGTATGTTTGTTAAGCATTACTGCCGAGCAGTAAGCATACATGTTGGTTTATTTTTTTCCAGGAAGTCATAGGTCAGTTTGTAATCAAAATAAACTTGCAGAGACTTCATATTTGCTTAAGATTGACAGTCTATCATAGTGAACATATTTGGATTTTCAACATCAGAGATTTGAATCGTACATTCATGACCTATGTTGTCATAAAATCAAACCCAGAAGAAAAATTAATTTAGCAATCATTACGTTTGAAGCAGGGGTCATTAAAACCGACTTTTAAAAATTCAGATGAATCGTCAAACCATCAGTTGGCTAGTATTTCCCTAATCCAACCAACTTTTCTTGCTGTCTCCACAAGTCTTCAATATACACAGCACTGATGTTTCAGCTGTGGTTTAATATTACATATTACATATCACACTATTCTATTCTCTGTGAATTTGAATGAATTTTGTTCACTGTCACTCTAACCATGCTCCTCTTTTTTCCAGACCTGCATAGCCAGGCATGAGTCAAATGGCATTGACATTATTATAGCACTAATTGTCAACTCCATCAACCCCCTGGGGAAGAATCGGCTGGACCTGGTGCTGGGGCTCAAGGTGAGCGGCAGGTGTCTCTGAAAGCCTTGAGAGGCCGCTCGCTTTTAATGCCATTTACACAGCCATTAGTATAAATTTAAAGATTTAAAGTATTCATTTACTTTAGTGCTAGAGGCTTGGGACAAGACAACTGGAGGCACCCTTAACAGTTCCCCAGAAAAAGCTATGGCAAAAAAAGTAATGTTTTATTGAATAATTGGAGCCTTATTTTTCTTCTTCTTCTTTCCATATTTTTTTGATTGCCAGTTATTGTGCTACACATGTCCAGCTGTTTGACTGCTGAGGTTTTCAATCTTACAACTCATAAGGAAAATTATAGCAATCAAATGGTTTGATTGTGCTAAAAGAAATTGCATCCGTCAAGTCATTCATTTCTGAATTACTTAGTTTTGCAGTGTGTAGATCAAAGTGTAAAAGCTCACTGGTGAAGCCTTGTGTTGTAGAACAACGCCTCCAAGCTCCTACTGGCCATCATGGAGAGCCGCCATGACAGCGAGAACGCAGAGAAAATTCTCTACAAGATGAGACCTACTGAACTGGTAAGTGTTTGTGTGTCAGCACGTATAGCTAGGTCCCATGTAAAATCAGTTTTCAAGTGAATACACTGGAAGTAGCAATAACCTTTCATAACTTTTGTGCATCAGGTGGATGTAATGAAGGAAGCCTATGCCCAGGGTCTGGAGAGTGATGAGGACGAGGACAACGCTGGAGACAAGATCAAGCCCAAAGATGTCGGACACAACATTTACATTCTGGCTCACCAGGTAATAAAAATGCCTGAGCTTGTTTTTGTCTGAACAGAGGCATTACTGCATTTCCTCTTTCTCTGTCTGTCTGACCTTCTGCTGACATCACGGCCGTGCACTGCGCTAGTTGGCGTGCGCGTGTGTGTCCACATGCATGCTTCTATCGGAGTGTGTCCTCAGTGCTAAATGATGGAAGACTGCTCTTTTATGAACTCGTTGCTCTGCCAGTTTTCTAAAATTAGCTTTCAGGATGTGACACTGGTTCTGCAGACGTGGGTGTTCATTGAAGCAGGCGGTAGTCACTGTATTACTAAACAAATGTGGTTTGCCTGGTCCAGAGTATCAACAGTAAAGAAGTGAAATTAGTTGTATTGTGCATGTGTGTGTGCATCTTGCGTGTGTCTGCCTTTCTCGGTTTATGTCAGTTGGAGAGGGCAGACGGAGTCTAGCGGGTTTTCACTTCTGCCTCTTAAGTGTCAAACAGGGTATTTTTGTCCAACCTAACAGACTAGTTTCATCATGACAAGGAAGGGTATTTTTTTTTTTTTTTTACTGTTGGACTGTGTTTTTTTTAACCCTAGAAAGTGAACACAAACACGCGCACGCACGCACAGATCAACAGATGACACACAAACTTAGAGATGAGCTTATCTAAGTATCTTATTGAAGATATTATCTGGTATTTGCTCCTCAGGGCAGCTGCCATTCATTGTAATTGGTGTCTGTGATAAATAAATTATGAGTAACTAAGAGAGAATGATAAACAGTAGATCATAAAAATGCAGAAGTAAAGTTCTGTAAATATGTTTTTACTGGTGACCATGAGGTTTATAGTTTATATATTAGGTAGAAAGAATTTTAAAAAGAAAGAAGGAAGAAAACAAAACTCATCAAACTTATATTTCACTGTGACACGACGACCATGTCTATTGTTATTGTTGTCCTTTATAATTTCCTCCTGTGGCACTGTGGCATATATTTAAGGCAATATTTTGTCACTGCTTACATTGCTTCATTTTCAGCTGCAGCAAACAGCTGTTTTTATTACTTGCTCCTTACCAAACGGCAGACGGACACAATTGAATATTGGACTTATATTCGCCAAGTGGCCAGAAACATCTGCCAGACTCCAAATGAATAATAATGTTGCTCCATAGTTGCTGGATGTATAAAAGCAACTGTTTGCTATCAAGTCAGGTTTAAGCATCTAATATTACCTAACAAATCTATATACATAGAACTGAGAGTGGAAATATAGATAAGTAACATAATAGTCTTCACGTAAAGTCTTGTCTTTGTATCCTGTTAGCGAGTGTTAATTTCTCCATTATTTGGCTTTTTTGCCCCTCTGTCTTCTTTATTGTCTTTCCAAGTTGCATTGTCTTGTTTTTATTCTCATTAAGTTGTCTGATAAATAACTGTGTCGCAAGATGGTTGTGTAGAGATTAGGTTTGGGAATCATAAGCAAGATGAGAGAAGAACTTCCCCTCAGGGTCAATCACATTACCATTACCATTATTATTTTAAGGCTTTCGGATTGATACAGATCTTTTCATTGAAGTCCAGTGTAAGTTCCTTCTTTGAGTGCCATTTAAGTTAATTAAATTAATTATGATTTTGGATCCTAGCTGGCCCGACACAATAAGATCCTGCAGCAGAGCTTGAGGCCAGGGTCGGTGCTGGGGTCGGCATCAGGGGTGGACACTGACAATGAGAAGGACGACGCCCTTCGTTACTATGCTAATCACACAGCTCAGATAGAGGTACACCTCATCAATTTATCCTCTGAATCTCCAAAGCTTTATCCAACAAGCAAATTGCATTTTGTATAAACCTGTAATGAGCATTTAATGGATCTGGTTTGCCAGATTGTGCGTCACGACCGCACCATGGAGCAGATAGTGTTTCCGGTCCCCAACATCTGCGAGTACCTCACTGAGGAGTCCAAGATGCGCGTGTTCACCACAACCGAGAGAGATGACCAGGGCAGCAAGGTTAACGACTTCTTCCAGCAGTTTGACAACCTCTACAATGAGATGAGGTGGCAGAAGAAGATCCGCAGTAAGTCTTTACATTCCGAATCCAGCTCTTGGAAAATAATGATGGTGGCAGCAGAAGCAGGCTGCAGCATGGTAAATGATGATTATCACCCAGAGTATCCTGTTATTGTTATTCCAGAATAAATTGAAGGGCCTACAGCAGCTTTGTGTGTTTGTATGCTGAGTTTGGGTCCATGTACTCATGCTTCCTGTTGTGTGTTCATGCAGAAAATAAGGCTCTGTTCTGGTTCTCACGCCACATCTCTCTTTGGGGGAGCATCTCCTTTTACCTGGCCTGTCTGCTCAACATTGCTGTGGCTGTTTTTTACCCCTTTGGTGATGATGGAGATGAGGGTAAGAATTTTTCTTTTTTTTTTTTTCTTTTTTTTTTTTTTTTTTCATTGTACACACGTCTTCATGTCCGTGTTTGATACCACGCACGTAACTCTGAGCTGACTTACACGGATCGTGAGCGTCGGATCCACACCTGTCCCCTGGCTCGTGTGGTGAGGGCTAGAAGCTTCAGTCCTGGCTTCTCTCCGATAGGCACAGACACGACACTTGTTCCGAGCCTTCTACGACCGCTGGTACCCTTCCTTCCTCCTGAATCCAGTTTCGTACCTTTCTCCCAACACCCACCTCGTATTCCTCTCCCTTCCTTGGTCTTTTCGTGATAGAACTGAACTCTTCCGAAAAGTGATCCTTGACCATGTCATTTCTGAAATCTTGAACGCCTTTTCCATTTTTTTGAACCACATCCTAAGGCTCATACACTTTGTTGAACACTTGACGTGTTAGGACGTATGGCACAACGTTCCAGTGAAAATGTTGAAACATAGTCTTACGACTGGTCCATTTCAAGCTGTTAAACCGTTAGCCATTCAAAGGTAGTTGCAGATCGACACGGGCATGTGTGTGGAAGCCGATCCCGGCACCGGTCTTGGCTGTTTTGAGTGCCTCAGTGTCAGGGCAGGCACGCTCCTGGTTCTAATGAAGATCCTCAAGTAAGACACTTAAGAGAGACACGTGCCAGCGCGCAGAGAGTGTCACCACAGCACATACTAACCCGTTCATTTTAATTAAACACTGTCCTGTATTCCGATCGTTGCAACTGGCAACATGTAAACCACGACATTAATCTCGGTATCGTACTTCAAAACCGCAGCAGCAACCGAAATTGTGTGTGTAAGCACAGAGACAGAAATTATTGTTTTGTCCGGTTCCGAAAGAATGCCACATGACCCCGTTTAGTTGTACTATCCCTCAGCGAATTTCGTCCCCAACAAAGAGAAAACATGATGCACCCCCGGCCGTGGGTGCTTTGGTCCGTGGCCAAAACCCTAAGAATGTATTGACTTATAAGAACCTCCTTTCGAAAAATGTCTTCACATTAGTCGATCTCTCCACCGTAGGGCAAAAGCACCACGCAGAGTGGTGCATGAATAAAGTTCACACAAATGGCTGAATTCTGATCTCCTCTGTTGTCCCGGAGTCACACTGTAAGGACTTACTGACTTGCTTGAATCCAGCTAGTTGCCCATTCGTTAATGTTATTACTTAGAGCACCTGAAGCCTTATTTCAGCAATCCGAAAAAGTTACCGTGAAAGAGTACATTTGTTTTTTGTAGAACCAGCCTGTCTATGTGTAGTGCCGAGTTGGATGTATTTCAAATCGTGAAGCACGACGCCTGTGTAGCGTACTGCGGTGTGGTTGTCTCTTAACTATGCTATGTATAACACAAACAACATACCTGCACACTTTAATCCAAACACAACAACAACCTTATCCTCCAAGTTCCCTGATTAACTACTTCTTCAAGATTGACACACCACCTGGTCTTCATCATGTTTTGTGTTTGCCCCGTGGAGCTTCGGTAACCAAAATGTGCTTTAATTAGAAGGCAAAGCACCTTTTGACGACTTGCTCTTGTTTGTACACACTGGACCATCGACGAACTTCGCAAGCAAAATAAATTATTCCTTGTATTGTAAATGTATAAAGAGAATGTAAAAATTACCACTCTAGCAAATTTATTGAATACAGACTTCCCAACTTCGAAACTCTGAGTCGGGAGGTCCAAAGAAGCCTATATCGGTACCAAATGTTCTATTAAAAATGAATACTTTCCACCTATACCATCCCACTGAGTTTATGACCATGTACATCAGAGCAATATCTTTGCTTTAGAAAAGGACTCACCCAATGTGGGTCTGCTGACTCGAATGTTCCATCCCCAGTCGCCATGAGCTAATCCAAAAGT